CGGATCATCTGGCAGCGCTTGCGGTAATTGCCTACTGCTCCTGCCTCCTCCATTTCTTGAACCCAAGTGGTACACCAGGCTTCCCTATCAGCACGTAAGCTCCACTTTAGTTCGCGCCTAAGAGCCCGTCTGGTCACATTGTGTTCAGAGCCAGCCGGGAGATGTCTTTTGGGTTCCAACAGGTTCACCTACGTCACGGATATCCAATGACTGGTGCGGTGACGATTGATAGTGCCACAAGCATGTGCTCCAGCGTCGTACATAGCGGCCGAGATTCTTTTCCACTGAAGCTCAATGTCATTAGGACAAGACAGCGAAAGTTCGGTACGCAGTGCGTCTTAATAGGCTTGTCTGACCGAGGGCTTAGATAAATTCTGTTGCCAATAGTAGAAGACGCCTGGAGCGCCTCCTGGTAAAATACATACAGCAACGACAGCGTACTGAGGCATGATCAGAGTCGATGCAGGTACTCCAATACGAGCGGCACTTCAGGATGGAACCACGTCATCTGTAACTTATGGCTATGTGGTCAATTTGGGTCCATCGCTGGCCAGCTACGAGAGGACGCCAAATGGCACTTCGGCGCACACATTTGAAGCAGACGCTCACCGTTGTCATTCCGATCGGAGTTAAGCCCACACTTCCACACAGCTGCGCTTCTAAATAGCTGACGCCCTACTTGTGCATTCATATCCCCTGCAGGTACTATAATATCTGAACTAGTAGCACTGCGTAGTAGGGCGTTCAGTTCGTGATAGAACGTGTGCTTGACAGAAGTCGGTGGGATCATAAGCGGAAATAACAAACAAACAGAGTTTTGTACTACTTTGTGAATCCACCTTAGCTGATGTCGTCAAACAGGCTGGATATAAACGACTGTTCATTGGAATCCAACCAACCAAAGATGGCTCAGCCCTGGAGCTTAGAATGATACGTACACCAGCTTGCCCCGTAAGTGTTGCATCGGCGTCTCCGGATAAGTGCAACCGAGAACGAGAGGATAAGCCTGGTACAGTTAATGCAACAACCCGTAGTGTCGGACAACACATATCAATACCCAGTGTGTCCAAGGTGTGTGCGAGTGCAGCCTGTTGACCTATTTGTCTTGGAGTGCGAACGTTGCATGTCGCCATGGAAACGGGACAACGTGGCATTATTAGTGACTGTTGCCGATGGGAGTCCGATAGGTATTGTGAGAAGGTGGTTGCAGTTTGTTCTACTCCAGTGGCACTTACGTGTCAGTCAATTAAGCTGGGAATTGTAGAAGGAAGTTTAGTATTGGGGGTCGGGATGTGAGTAAGAGAAAAAGGTGGAAAAGAAAGAAGGGAGGGGCCAGCAGTAGCATGTTTTCGCCCATCCGCCCTTGTTGTATGCAGCAGATAAGGTGACCCTTGATAATCTGCTTGACGGCCGATGAAGGATGAAGTTTATATTTGAAGAAACCTCATGGTTGTATGTGGGATGATATACTGCCAGGGCGACCAGACCTAGGCAGGAGGATGATTATGGTCCTCAACTAAAGCCTCTGGCTCAAAAGCCTGTCCGCAAGACAGCGAGGAGGTGATTTAGTTTTACAGAAATGGACGCCATCCCATTTCAAACCCCAACCTGGAGGGTCAGGAGACTGAGTTTGTTTGACCTCTCACCACGGACCAACCTGGTAGGAGTAGCTCTCATGGTGTTTGGAGGCATCATCTAGTATAGCTCAGTTGGTCAAGGAGGTATGCAAATCGTCGCACCACGTTAAGGCCCAGTCTCTTTGCGATCCCAGTGCCATCAGAAAGACCAGGTTTGTGTTAAAAGTAAATTGTGTCACAAACTGAGTTTGTGTGTAGCAAACCACGGATGTAAGGTGCACAATATAGTAGCCAACAACAAATGAGATTATTGGAGTCTGGTTAAACCGCCTAACAACCATACCAAGAAATTGGTTCTGGGAGCTGTTTCATTTCATGGTACTTCTCATGGATTCATCCGTATTTCCGACTTGGAGCGCCTTAGATTTTGACCCCACCGAGATGGAAAAATTGCGTGCTCATGATTTGCCGTGATGGCAGCTATCGAATGTTTGTGAATGTTTGCGGCTGTACGCTTTCAAATCGGATGCAACTTCATGTTATACTGCTACCGCAAACTAAATGGTGTTAGGGGCTTAGGTCCTGAACGGATGGTCAACTGTTTAAACAAAATTTTGCCATTGTCAATTATTGCGAACAGATGATCATTACTTAATAGTAAGGCTCCATCAATGAGATGTACGGTTTTAGCAGGTGACAATGTTACATAGAACATTATGAACAGGCAATAGAATTAAAGTTTAAAGGTTGTAAAATCAACTTCATGAGTGATAATCACGATCGAACACTTTTAGCGGTGAAACGAGGAGTAGAGTGTACCATGTGAATTACGGAAGTCTGGAGCAGACTCGAGACGAATATAATAATGGATACCACACTTTCCTAACTCGAGTAAGCGGTTAATTGAACTGCCAGTTTTGCAAGCCATGACAAGGAGTGACTCGGTAAATGCGGCTCCTTAGGGAAGATACGCTCCATAAAAGTTTTATGGCGCTTTGTTTGTGAGAAAGTTTTCTGCATGCAGTATCATTAATCTGCATTGTTTTGTGCATTTAACAAGTTCCACATTTTTTGCACTCAGAAGGTTTGCACTTCATGTTACCAATTCACTCAACTGGTTTAAACGAAAGAACAGTTAGTGTGTCGCATTAGATTCTTGTGCATATAACCTCTATTGCAAAAGAAACTGCTGGTACAGTCTGAGGTGCTGCATCGTCTCGCAATTGTGAACTCATCTTACCCGTGATGCACGCACTGATAGAGTAACTGCGTGGATATGCAGTTCAGAAAGCAACATTTTGTCACTAGCGCAGGGTCAACTGGATGGCCCCTAGGCATTCGTGATCATTAGGTTACGTTATCCAGTGAATGCAGAATGGCTCGCAGACCAATATAGTGGATGTCCGCTTTACTGTTGTAAGAAGCATGAAAAAGACAGTCGTATTATGGCAAACTACTATTCCTTGACTGTATAGGATCGACCCGTAAGCACATGCCAGTGACGTCACGCATTGCCAACACGGATCCGTGTGAGTTGTAGGTATGCGAGATGGTTTATACCCTAGTATGAACCCCTCAGTAAGTACAACATCCTTCCAACCAAGAGATTTTTATACCATAGACAGTATCCAATTCAAAAATTTGTATAATTCCGGTCAACATGAAGTAAACTAAATCAGAAAACCAACATTTCTTAAGATAAATGAAGTTAACAATCTTGACTTTGGTTTGGCAGCTTTGATCACAAGTAATTTAATTAACTGAAGTTAAAGGATTGGATAGTATCTTATTGTGGTACCGAGAAACTGTGTCCATAAAATAAAAGATGAATTTTACATTTGGAACATGCCCAAGTGCACAGAACTTCCGATTGTTAGGATCTATGCAGAGCTGCAATAGGGACAGCTCTTTGGGTGTCCGACGTCCACGATGGTCATTTTAAGTTAATAAGACAAAAATAAGGAATTACCTACTATTTTTACTTGCTTCCCTCAAAAGCCCCGGCTCGACCTACGCAGTTGTATAAAAAGGGGCAAAAACATGTCTCCCGGAGGGCAGTTTATGTTGAACAAAGCATTGATATCTTATTTCCGCGCTTTACTGACTAGCTGTATGTAGAGATTCGCGAGACTATGCTGGATACAAGTCCGGTATGGTGCATGCGTGTCCCTGTTATTCTACTGATGAACCCTGTTATTCCGTTCTCCTGGTCAGTCGCAATTGTCATAGGAAATATTGCGTCTCATGCTTGACAGGTTGTGCCCGATGGGAGTTACAATGCAAATATTTTGCGCTTCAATCCACAACAGATGACAGTAACCGAACCTGAAGTAGTAGATTTATGCGGGGCAGTTGTGTGCCTACTCTACCAGCGATCGATATCCCCATGGTGGGAAGATGAAAGTACGATACTTGGGGTGGGCTGAATAGGCGGAATGGCTGTTGAATGTAGCAACTGTTCCATGCCCTTTCTGGTAGTGAACTAAGGTGCAATGGACTTGTTTACAGCTGTCGAATATTACGGTGTGAAGGCTGAAGGTAAGTGCATGATCGTTAAGTATTGGGGTTCGGGAGCAAATTAACTTTGTTGTGCATGGGACGTGATGAAACTGGCTGTATCTGTTTCTGTAAATCACTTTTTAAACGGTACCTATTTGCACTTTGCCCTCTTACAGTTTGGGCTAAGCAAAACAAATTACCGAAGTTTATTTTGTGGTTGCCATTCAACGGTTTCAGTTAAAAAACATTGATTGAAATGTTACTTCGAATTATGTTAAGCGGTCATGGGCAAATATAGTTTATTTGCCTCTAACTCGGATTCATTTTCCCTATGACCAAAACCGATTTACCACCTTCTTCCGGCTACTATGTCGGTTCGCTGTCAAAAACCATCCACCTGTCACATTTTGCTTACAGGATTGCCTGAGACGGTACAGTAGACAAATGTGAACTGGTAGTGTATCTGATCCCAACTTGGGAAGCGATTAAAGATATCCACGCGTGCAGCAAAGATAGCTTACCTAACACCAAATTTAGACAATAAAAGTCTAATAGTGCTGCGTAAATAAATATTTAAAAAGTGTGTGTGGTACAGGAAATCGTGCAAATGCGAGCGAAGACATTTTCAAGGGCCTGTTTTGTACTTTAGTTCATGTGTCCTGTCGAAATGTTTGCAACTGTAAGTTGAAACAGCATAAATTTTATCATTGGCTTACACTTGTTGGTCCAATTTGTTTTCCAGCTTGTCATAGTCATTTTCGAATTGCTAGTCATAATGCAACGCGGCTGCGCATGACCCAGAAAGCTTTGGAACGCTGCGTTTAGTGTAAAAAGGGAGAGCGCATCTACTGTATACATTGTACCCTTCGGCATGAAAGAGGTGTGGGTAACTCCACTGATTTGCTGCGGGCAGCAAACACAGGAATGGATAGAAGCCTGATCTTGCTGGTGATCCGAATGCTTTTAATAGCGGATGAGCTAACGAGTAATTTCGGTAAGTGTTTCCCTTTATCGCCATGCCACAAACATTCATCTTGTTTTGATACGTACTATTCCAAGTTCTAGAAATTTGTGCATAAACGAGCGTGCCCCAGTAACCAAACGTAGAGCCTGTTATGAACCAGATGGTGGGAAAAATTATTGTATCTAACACATTTGAATACACCATAACGGTGGTGAGTTGCGCATTGAAAATAATTCTGAAGTTAAGAAAGCACTTTAGTAAACTCCGAGGTCCTTCATACCCATTAAACTCTGAGTGTATCATGAAGAGTGATGATACGAAAGAAAATACATTTCATCCGACGAAGTTGCTGAGTTGCTGTTAATATGCATCGAAACAAATTAAGTTCAAGGTAGACAGTTCACGGCTTTTAGTAAGGATTTGTTTCTTTACTGTAGTAAAGGAAAACAAACGTAGATGCACAGGTGTTAACTACAGTCAAACCTGTCTAAGGCGATCACTGAAGGGACGGGCAAAAGTGGTCACCTTGGACAGGTGGTCGCAACAGACAAGTTCATGCATAGAAACATTACTCGCAGGCGAAAGCTTTGGGATGCTTTTGGCTGGTTCCCATAGACAGGTGGTCGCCATCGCATTTTGGACTGTATGAACGTCCAAAGGTCAAGCCTACATACAACCGGTTTGTATTACAAACCTCCCGAATGTAGTAACCGCTTGTTTCCAAACAAAAAAGCGAAACGAAATCACATGGATTATATCATGTAGTGTTCTTATATTGGGGGTCATTTTGAAGTACTTGTTTTCCGTTTGGATTGCTGACCGGGGACCGGGATTCGTATTGAAACGAACTTTGATCAATTCAATCTTTAGAACTGTAGCTGAAGCGTATGAAAATGGGATGTTGCCCGCCTAAAAGCACTGCACCGCCCTGTGCATTTCGACGGCGCTTAATCTCATCAAGTAGCGATATCATTTCTCGAACCCGGGAAAATTAAATTGATGGTTGGAACCTCTCCCCGTTACCCATCAGATCACGACGGGCAACACCTGTCACCACGATTAACAAATGCTTTGATGGTCATTTTCAAGTACTCAAAGAGTGGTTGGATTGCGATGCACAATCTCACACTGGACCAGGTTTCGCACTGAAGCCCGCTTTACCTCAAGAGATATTGTCTCTGGTTCAGTGTGTCCCAATAAAGCTGTCTTATATAGTAAATTCAATTTAGCAAGGCATATAGGTTTCTAATCTAGGTGCGTGTCTGCGAAGACTACTTAGGTCTTCTGAATACGATCCACTGGTGACAAAAAGTACTGCAATCCAGATGTCATTAATGTAATGCACTCAGGGTTTGGTAGCTAAAAGTTATGCCACTAATTTTCCGAAGCAATCATTCAACGGAACGCTTTTACAGCGTGTCAACAAAAGAAACGACTAAAGCTCACAGTGTTTGTTCCTTCTCTGTTTGGCCTGCAATACGAGGAAATAAGTTCTAAGACATGCGTTCCTTAGCGGCAGTGGCACGACTAACTTCATTAGAATTTCCCTCAAATAACACTTTAGAAGTGCTAACTGTTGTGATGAAAAAGTGAACGAATAGATTTCATACTACGGAAGAGAACGGAGTTATAACTGTATCGGTACATTGCTATGTTTGGCAGTCTTCCGAATTCTGACTAGAGCTAGCTTAAGTGCAATTCATTAAACTCGTGGGTACACATAAATCAAGCTTTCAACCCGAAACAAAAGTACTAAAACCATAAGGATGCTACCTAGCAAAGTTTAGCGGGTACGACGAACGACTTCCTCCATACGGATTAAACAGGGCGAAGTTGCGCAGCAAGACTCGTAGAACTACAAATATCCAATAGTATAAAAGCAGTATGCATAGTCTGACCAAAAGAGCTGACCGAAAATGGTGTCCTCAATATTTGTGTAGGGCGATGCGTGATCGTTACACCAATCGCACACATTTCACGCAACCAATCGGTAGAAAGTGGTTTTGCAAGCGACTATCCAATCCTTTTTCTTTTTCTCCCCCTACGTCGAAATTCTCAACATTCCATCTAATTTCATAGGTTGTACTTATGTTGAAGACGTCGTCCTTAGTTGTGTAACACTGATCGTTGAAGACCCTTTGAAACTCCAACTTGGGCTAGATGAACCATTGACTTGTCCTAGCTCTCGAGCTATCTCTCTCCATCCTTCCAAATTTTGTGACGTAATGTGCAGTTTTCTACATCCTTATAGACTGCGATCCTTTGCATATATTCCCCCACCATGATTGTGCATGATCAAAGGATACCACATTGCTCTGTGGTAAAGTATCTCGTATTTTTCGTATCCCACAAGTTTTTTGGTTTACGACTATTCCTGTAACGTTTACGAAATTTAGAAAGGTCTGGAATTACGCCATCACGATCGAACTGCTTACAGTTTTCTGTGCTTTACTTTTAAGTTTTTTTAATCGCATGTATTCGCGCCACGCTTTTTAGCATTCCTTTGTAATTCTTCTTAGACTTTTGAAAAGAATTGTGTCCTACCTACCCGTTCGTTAAAGCTTATTTCCTGTGCTTCTAAATTAAATAAAGAACTGCCTGCTTACTTTTCCGAAAACAAACATTTTGATCCACGCATCAACACTTAAACCAGGATTCTAGACAACCACCCTCACTCTTCACACAATATCCCAGCCAGCACTATATCTACTTTAGCACACCGGCAAAAGTTGAGCTTTTACATTCTTGCAGTTCGTCGTATCGAAAATCCACCTTGCCTTATCTGTCACGTTTGCTAATCGACACATCGGAAATAAAGCAGAGGCTTGCATGACCGTATGCTTGATTTAAGATGCCCCGTTCTCCTTTCGTAGCAGTTACTTTTCGCTTTTTTATTGGTGTATTGTTGTATTATGTTCCGCAGTGTTAGTGTAAAGTTCTTACAATGAGTGGATAAAGCCTGTTCTGAACTGCACGATACTTCATACAGTGCTGAAAAAGAATAACTCCCTGCTTATATCAAAAAGTACGGTAGCCACAATGTTGTGCGCTATAAGTTTAGATCCCGATTTTAAAATTGTACAATTGGAGAATAAACCTGTACAAGTTAAAGGAATTGCAAACTAATTTGGTCAAGCAGAGAATTTTAGCAGCTGCTTGCCAATAAACAGAGGGCAACAAGACTGGTACTATGATGGCCGAACAAACCAAATAGTTAGACAATTTACATCTAGCAATAGTTGTCCAGCCAATTCCGGGTAGTGTGTGTGTGATGTGGATCTTGGAAGATCTGTACATCTACTTCAGTGTTTCGCACGGTATTAATTTTGTTAAAGGAAGACAAATCGATACTGCCTGCTAGACAAGGAAGCGCCTAATGAGATAGAAAGAGGCACAAGCTATGAGTGAGCTCAAAATACTCCAAAAAACGAGAATTAGACGACAACTGACATAAAGAAGGACCCTGTAGCATTCTATACAAATGTTTGCGCCACTCTACTTTATCTTCGACGGTATGTCCTCATTACAGCTCAAACTTAGGTGTACGAGTTAGTGTCCAGCTAACTCGGGACACGAAATCCACTGAGTACAAGTGGCCGATTGGTGTACACTGGATTCGCGGTTGGTCAGGAGTGATCCCATTCGAGCCCTAGTGTGTCTCAGTGACACACAGTTCGGCCACTTAGGAGCCGCATATTTTCCAGTGCAACCTTAACTTATGCTATGAATGCACTTTCTCTAGTTGCAAATACCGTCCACGTTTACCTGCAGTCAATTCCCATAGTGTCAAAAGGCCATACCGAGGAAATACAGCTATAAGCAAACTTTTTTTGGGAGACCGATTTACGACCGAATCTGTTCACTGTGACCATCAGGGGCACACAAATTACAAAAGCGTTGACAATGTACACTTCAATTACAATGGAACAACTTTGGTTAACGCTGCACTATAATATTTACTGTAGTATTTGGATAAATTCCGATATTTTTGACTCATTTTTTTATACCACTGACTGAATTCAAGCCCAACTGCACCAGCTGATCGTCTACCTGGGCCAAACTGACGGATTTCTATGTGTCCTCGATAATTTTGCCCTTCCCGGTTTGTTGCAAATCGCTGAATAAAACCGACATGAACGCAGCATTACACCTTCGTCTCAAAATGCGCTTTTCCAGCTTCTTAATTTCAGTTTACTTTAAACCTCCTATTTAAGAATATGAGTAGTTAAAGAACGGTCCTTTACCCAGAACTTCCCTATATCAGCCTTATCTAGAATACGGAAGGATCGGGAGTGATTTGCAATACAAAACGACTTTGTCGCATTACCGTCTTAGAGGCGCTTCGCCACAATGATAGTAGTTCCAGAAGCGCTTACAATTGTTCCAAATTATTTTTTAGCTACATATTTTACTGATGCTGGACAACTCCACCTGCGTCTGGGGAGATCGCCCTCCAGCCGCCTCTTCCCACAGAGGACCACGTCCTTTGCAAGTCCAGTCTACGTATCTCCATTGTATCTTCGGCACCAACAAAACTACGCAGACAGCAGGATGCCGTCTTCCAAAGAATGTGTTGCCGATCAATTTGGTTATGCAATCATAAAAGGTAACTCAGTCATCTGTAGAAATATTAGCTCATGACTAAATAACCGACAGAACACACTATAGCAGCACAGGGTCCCGACTGGTACGAACCGACCAATTTCAATATCACATTGACTGTAGACAGCAATCGGACAGTCACGTACCTGGCTAAACAAACCTGAATTTAAAAATAACCTCTTCAGGACAAGCAATTAAGATCACCGTTTGCAGAAAGGTGAGTTGATGATCTCAGTAGCCAGAAGCGTATTATTAGATGTGAAATGGCTGGCTTGAGTCTATACTGGCCCTTGCGCTGTCGGCTGTCAGTCATTTCTTTTGTTGAACGGCTAACACAGGCCCAAGGGCCATTCCAAATTGGCATATGGAGTGCTAAGTATCAGCAGGTGGCTGAGAACTTAGAACTCATTCATCTGCCGCAGTGTTTCGACAATGTCACTGTTCTGGGATGCATGCTGATGGGTTGCTCACGAGACTTTCTTGTTCAGTGTTATGGTGCCTATTTGTGGCTAGGTGTCCATCGATTTTATTCTTATCTCGGGTAGCAGCTTTTTTCGCATCTTGTGCCACATTTTGTACGTCATTTCTGTCACTGGATTGTATTGTAATACAGCTTTGTTACTCGGAGATCACACCCTTTGAAGTTGGGTGATAATGGTACTATTTAGTGAAAACTGGCGATTACCTTTTCGAAAGAAAGCACTTCAGCAATTATGCGCCATTCCCCCCATACACATGCTTGAACCTTTAGCTCCTTTGAAGTCCGAGGCTTGGGAACACCGTGGACAAGGATCAAGTTTGCGGCTTTCTGTTTACGGAACTTATCTGGGTTTTGTTTGCGTTTTTGATCTTTGCTAAAAGAGACGTGGAGGTTTACAAACAGGGCATGGAGTAGTTCTGTGATGAGTGGATGACAAGAAAACGGCATCTGCATTCTCCTGACTGAGGTACTACTTAGTGAAGCCAAGGTTTATGATAGTGTAGTGGGTTTGAATGACGCATGAGGCGCATTATACTGGCCAGTTTAGTTTGGACCCCTACTAATCGACACATATGGTCCCGCTGTTTCCGGTCGCTTAACAGATTAGCTTTGGTAGAGTTTACCACGAACTCATGAAAATTGGACAGGCATAAAATTGTGATATAATGTAATGCTCCCCATTTTGGATTAATGTGCGGTTGCTTACTTCACTCGGATAACATAAGGCGTCTAAAGTCCCGCTGTAGTATTGGCAACAACAACGGCACCTAATTTGACAACGATCAATGTTACAATGGATGGTGCCTCTGTCATGTGGACAACAAATATGAGCGCGTATGATCTCGATACTTCAACAGCATTGGCAGTAGCTCTTGAACTTGTTGAAGCAAGCTCTACGGACACATCATAAATAGCAGTCACTGGCACCAGGGTAGGATTCAGCGGCGTGTAGACGTTTGAATTTGGGACATTACTCTTAGGTTTATCCTGGCTACTAAGTTCTAAAGTAAAGTTACAAGTTTGGCATCAAGTTCGAGTCGCTGATTCCTCTGGACTCAGTGTGACCGATCCAACATCGGTTGTTACTTTGCAATCTCTGCCAGTCTATCGCGCCCTGACGCCAACCCAGCTACAGATCCGACGGGTAGAATAGTCGTACACTCAGTGCAGAACCAAAAGGAATCAAGCGTATTATTGCGTTTCTATACCTCGATCGAAGTTAGGTAGTGTACTTGATGCAGAGTTTTGTTTACCACAGTCATAGCAATTTGTTCCGAATTCTACCTCGTTAACACTTCTTTTCACGTCGTACTTCACGTTCATTAGTGACGCACTAGGCTTAGATTTCCGTTGACAGGCAGTGCGCGCAATGGCGATCTCGAAGCCACTTACGTTGCTGTAAATGTCAACTGCCGCAGTGTCTATCCGAGCACGCTAATACCGAACTCATTGGTTCTAATCAATCTTGGGGCTGACACACGTTTTCTTAATGTGCAGCGGGCTACGCAGGGATGAAAGCATATCGAAACACATCAACGAGCTAATACCGACATTAAGGACAAGATCACACGGTTCGCGTCTGTCTGATGCAACTGTGAGATGTATTTCTAGGCTTTCGTCGGGCGTGTCGGCGGAACACAGCCGTGGTCCGCGTTACAACCACAAGTTGGTTTTGTTGACGGAGTATCATAGCCTGCTCCATGGATTGCCCACGGTCAAGGTGTTGGATGGGAAGACAAACATGCTGAGAGGCCGAGTTGGGTTTGGTGTGGAGGAACGCAAATTATTCTGTGGCTGCGCTACACAATTGCGAATAAGAACGCGTAACGACTTGTTCGAATGCAGTTAAAATTCTCTACCGTGCAAGATGAAATAGGTGTTCAACCGTTGGAACAACGCAATGTTCTTCTTGTAAGTATCGGAGAAACACTACTTAGAATTTAGTTCCCTGTAAATTAAGGATGACTTGGTAGGGATTTCGGGAGAATGGTATCACTATGTGGTGCTTATTAATAAAAGACAAACACATTTGGATCTAGCTGTGTGCGACAAAGTGCGTCAAATACATGTCAGAAAGATAAGGGTGCACATAGTTGTGGCACTTGAAACAGGACCACAATCCTACTCAAACCTGGTATACTCCACATGGAAGGTGGCTATTTTTGGTTATCAAATTTTCACTGAAGTGAAGTTCTACAGCATGAGGTATTAAATACACATGAGCAAAATGGCGGCATATTTTATTTTGTGACCTGATGCACACATGCAATGTACCAGGAGTTTTGCGGCACTATGGTGCTGTTTTCGAGTACCCTAAGAGCATCCTTAATATATGGCACGAAATACACTGCAAAAGGCAACCATTGCGCATACATCTCGATGCATTCGATCTGATCAGGATGACTCTCGTGCAATACATGTTATGCCACGATGGATGCTGTCGCGTTGCATCGGATTGTTTGCATTCAGCTTAGTCCGTAACATTAAATGCTTAAAGGAATCACCCGTATCGTTTTAGATTGAAGAGTTTTATAACATGTGAGCCAGTGCGCGTAACAATTCTTTGCTTATTGGCTTGTGAACATAGAGGATAGTTCAACACTATTGAGCGTAACTTGGCAGTTAGTGATTATACTATATACTAGTAAAACAACAACTACTCATTATCTAACATTCTGATATCATTCAACGTACCTACACCAATTTAAACTTCTGGCATATAAAAGTTTTTCTTCGGCAATGTAAGTAAAGTTTAAAAACACAAGTAAACCAACCTAGATGTTATTTATGCAACAATTAATGTGAGGTAAAATTCATGACATCCAGGATTACCAACATCTATTCTGGTTTCTTAATGCAGGCTGCCTTTGTCGACTTTATCAAAGCACAGGACTCAGTGATGGGTTATTTCGCTCCCCACCGATGGAATTTATTCGTAAAAGGAACATATCATGCCTCATTTTTACTTTCGTTGGCGATGTGGATGAGCTCGTCCGTGTAGAGTTCACTGACTTCGCAAAGGAAGAAGGTGTGTACAATAGCAGCCATGCCCGGTAAATATTTTTCCACCCGGTTGACATACCAGTGCCATGTTACTGACGAAAATTTTGGCCCAAAATCTTTCGCTAAGCAGAGCAATAGAAGCATTATAAAAGCTTGCATAATAGAAAGGAATACACTTGTTAGCTGGTTTCATGCTCAATAATTGTAGTAAACTATCGCCTTTAACTTGTTTCCTCATTATTTTTGCAAAGTTAATTTCGAAAACCGCAATCGTTGACTTAGCATTGTGGCGTTGAATGGAACATAAGTTAGAAGTTTATCGGGTGAGAATCCTTGTTTTTATTTTAACCAGTGAACCGAAGGTGGACTAAATTTCGTCATAAAAACTGCTTGCTTTTACAGGGTGCGCCAGTTTTCCGACAATATTTACTTCGCATTTCACCTTTATCCCTAACTTCATTAATTGTTGTTTAAAATAGGCTTGGTCGTATTGATGTATTACAGCTTAAAGTAGAGATTGACAAGCAGACTGAACGTTCTCTTAATTACGTTTGGTTTATGAGATAATCCTGTAAAAGGGACGAATGTTTTACATTGATGTACTCAATTTTTACCGTTTGCTCTCGTCATTTTTCTTGAGGAATTGGTGTCCTAGGTTACCATGTTGCGTTGTGTTTAGGTGTTCCAGTTACGTCAGAATCTTCAGTCGTCTTGGCCGTGCAGAACTCAAGCGGAATGATGTCGAGACAGAACGACTGTGCGACAAACATTTTGGGTCAACTCGTCATGTGTTTTATTCCACTGGACGTGTTCTCATCGTCGAAGCCCATATTGCGCAGCACGCACGGGTCAAGCTTGAATTTAAAGGTCGCTATCAATTTGAGGCAGCTTGTAAGTATCAAAAACGACTTAGCACGTTATGTGTCTTCGGACTGCAATCTTTCTTTTGAATAATTTAAGTAGTGTTATTACGCTCAATCAGATTTCATAAGTCTGTTTTTGTTCAAGTGCCTCTTAAAATAGTTCGTGCACCTACTGGTGAACTTCGATCTGGGTCGGAAAATGCTTCCTCTAGAAAGCACCGCGGCTCTTAAAGACAACAAATTGTATCTCTAGTTACTGTATCATTTCTGACCTCTTCCAAGCAGCAAGATGGCAGCTCTTTCAACTTGCTTGAAGCCAGTTAAAATTTCCTGCACTTTAACAGTTCAACGCCGACGGTTAAACCCATGGGGTCCAGTGCTTCAAGGGTAATCGAGCTGAACAAACTTTGCCGGGTTCCGACATACTTGTGCTGGAAGTGGGCCACATTATTTAACGACTAATCGGTGTAGCTGGCTGGGTTATCGAAAGTACAGGCCTTACTGTCGATGAATCGCGTAAAAGTGAACCGTGTAAGTGCCAAGAAGGTCGAATGATCAGGCGTTGATAACTATCCCAGCGTTTTTGCACTGTATCTTAACTAAGGACTATGGTAATGAATTCTAATCCGGGGAAAATTTGAGGTCATGAGTTTCGTTTGGCCAAAAGTTGCAGCGAAGTAATGTACTCATGAATTCTTTAGTGGAAGGTCAGTGAAAACGTCAGCACAACACTAAAGTTCGGTGGAACTAAGATGTACGTCTATGCTCAGGCTGATAACTATGCATATAAACAATGCAAACATCTTCAGAACACATAAAAGTACCACCATTTAGGTATTGATGAGGTAGTGACAATATGAAACCACTTTACTCGGACTATTTAGAATCGGATTAAACTTAGGCTGGATCCCGAGTTAACATCAACAAGAAGCAATACGTTAAGTCGCAATCGAACTATATGGAAACGGTAAAGACAAAGCCAATAAAACATTGTTCAAGAGCAACCACCATCTCCTTTACAGTTCTAATCTTGTTCCACGTTGCTGTATTTACGCGTTCCTTTGTTCTTACCCACACAAACTTTCGTGTTTGTACTGGTCGACTTTTCTGAACACATTCGTGCCTTTGTGGAATGTACTAAGAAAAGTATGGCCAAGTTTGCGCAAAACTTCAGGATTATTAGCTGGGTTACTTTAAAACTAACCACTATGTCATCTATGGATAGACCCATCAGACCGACCAAGTATTCGACACATCCAGGAACCGAGAAGTCTGAGGATTATTCCACGAGATATTCAGACAGCGCCACCGTGGTGGTCAGTAACTCCGGCAGATTAAAGCACAACATGTTGGTCCTGAGCACACACTTATTGCACATCTCTGTAGGGCTCTTTTCAGTAGTTGAATGAGCCGCGTTCCATTACGATATGAGGAAGCTGCCAACTCTTTTGTCAACCTCAGTAACCGTTGTTGAATTGAACGAACTAATTGTGCTTCCAAGACTTGGCATCAAATCTCAGCAACACAACTGTAGTGTGGTGCTTTAAGGCGGTAGTGAGCCGGATCAACGCACTTCCTTAGACCACTTGTCACTAATTCTGGCACTGAAATAGATTGTGTCTGCGACCAAGATACACGGTACTCCTTGGCGAATAAACGTTTTACAACGAGCCGTGATCGGGAAACCTGACTTAGCAAACGTGGTAAAATAGGTAAAAAGGAAGCAGTTGGTATCGGGGTATATAATTTGTCCAGAACTGGAGCACATCAGCTTGCATGCACTCTTCGTCACGCCTCACATGCCATGGGCCGCTGAGTCTTGTATGATTCTTATGTGACTAGCTGGCGCAATTCTTTGCTCTGCGAAGGATAACGGCGTTGTATTATGGTCACCAACATGTTAAGCGAGCCAGACTTCATTTTTCCGCATGATAAGTTTTGTAACCAAGTAAAAATAATACCAGTTTGGACAAAATTTATCTCATGAGCTGGGACAAAATGTCAGACACGTAGTTCGTGGGATTACCGAATTTGCCACTTCTGGTCAGGTTCCATCCTTTACGGATTAGAAACAGTAGGGCATGATAACATTTATGTGATAAAAAAATAACATTGCAACGGTCTACCGGAAATGGCTGGTCAAAAGACGCCTTGAAATCCCGATTTCATTATAAACATTGCGTCGCAACAGATAATCAGCATGTGGAAAGTGTTTGGCACCGGTGTGGGATGGTATCCGGATAACCAGCGAGCGCGAAACTCCAGCATTGTAACATTGCCACAGCCGATTTAGCGAAAGATGGAAACTGGATTATAATTCTTCTTTACGGTTACAATAATGAAACTTTTCTAACAAGTATTTGCGGGGAACTGAGACCACTCAGTACACCGCAAGAGCTACCCTCATGATTTGAGCGTATGCGCTTCCCGAAAACTCAGGATGACCACCATATGTCAGCACCGCCCCGGTAACTAGGTAATGCATTAGTGATACAAGTTGATAGCGATTTTGGCGAAAGTGGTTGTAAAATCGCAACCGTGGAAAGACCTCGGAGCATAAATTACGTGAAAGAGGAATATTAAAAAGATAAACAAAACAAACGTTTTGCATACTTTCTTTAGAATATAGGTTCTACGTGTGAGGTAATATTCAGGGAAAATTTTTAGTATTGCAGAAACTCTTTTAAGAAACGGATTTCTCTGAAGCTTTTGCTAGTATTAACATTGCACAGCTATGAGAAACGAGCAAAACCTGGAAGAAAACCACATCCATCGATGATGTAGTGAGGACAAGAAAGTTTGGATACAAAGAAAATACGCTGACGGATTGATGGCTGCATTACACTCGTTAAAACTCTCCAAAATTACACGTTCACGTGCCTTAAAGCGATTTTGTAGGAGCATTAAACATGACGTCGTCCTGGTACACTGCAGTACCGGCTAGGCTCTCAGCGACGGAGTTCACAGCACCTTGAAGAATTGGTGGCGATCCTGTGTGACCGATGGTAAAAGGTTGTAGCAACATAGAACGAATGGCGGGTGTATAGTTATAAGTGCACTAGATCGTTCAGCAAGAGATATTGTAAAAAGTGGCCCTCCGTGCATCAAAAAGTCAAGATATGGGCCTCGATCAGAAATTCATTATTCATAGGATGAAACTCATTTTATATATCGAGTCAATTAGAATCACTCACAGATGTAGAACAAATCTCCTTCCTATTACATTCTTGACCAGCGTTCGAGCTTCGTTCAATGTCGATCCAAATCAATTGCATGCTATCCTTCAGTTCGCTTCTGCAGCAATCGACCAGCTTTCAGATTGTTGGCCCAAAATCATTAAGATCGACCGATCGCTAAGTGACCGGCATCTCAGTGTAGTATCTTACCATCACATCCTTCCTTTTTTCGTTTTTTTGTAGTCCGATTGCGTAAGCGCTGTATCGCCTTCCACTGCGTGTAGTCTTGTGGTCGTGTGCTGCCGTATCCACCGAAATGTCCGGCTGCGTTGGCTGCTTCGCACGATGCCGTGCTTGTTCACCACGTTGTCTCCTTAACTGCACCCGGTTGCGTCGAAATAGACTATCCCCAACTCTTACGTCGTAGCTTCGTTCGCCTTTGAGACCTTCTACTCGCCCTCTCCTCCAAGACCCGTTAGCTCCCGGTGTCGGCGCGACCCAGACCTCGTCTCCGGGCAACAGGCGTGGAAGCTGCTTCGTTCCGCGATCGTAATATTTCTTTTGTCGAAGCATGCGCTCACGCAAGCGCTCATACATCAAGCTCTGCGATGGTATTTCAGGCTGCAGCAGAGTATTGGCGATCGGCAACAGGGTTCTTGTCCTACGGCCAAACAGACGTTGCGCTGGACTGCATCCAATTTCGGCAGATGGCATGTTCCTTCGTTCTAACAACATGATGTAAGGATCTTCTTTGGTCTCCTTGGCTTTGGTGAGTAACTTCTTTGCTTCCTTCACGGCTGACTCAGCTTTTCCATTTGACTGACTGTGGTAAGGGCTGGTTAAACGATGAAGGAAATCCCACTTTTCGCTGAAACTCCGAAATTCGGCGCTGTTGAATTGGGGGCCATTGTCGGACACTACCTCTTCCGGTATCCCATGTCGCGCAAACTGCGATCGTAGCTTGTTTATCACGGCCTGTGTGCTAGTAGACGTGAGAGCATCAATCTCGAAATAGTCGCTAAAGTAATCGACAGCGATCAGGTAATTCTTTCCGTCATGTGCAAAGATGTCTAGGGCGACTTTCTGCCACGGCCTTTCCGGGACCTCACGAAGCATCATAGGCTCCTTCGGCTGGCGGACATCATGTGCTCGACAGGCTAAGCAGTTTGAAACATGATCCCGTATCTGACTAGTCATTCCAGGCCAAAACATTAGCTCTCGAGCTCTCGCCACGCAAGCATTGACTCCTGAATGACTTCCGTGTATCAGCTCCAGCATGGGTCGTTGCATTGCTTTTGGAACGAGTATACGGTTGCCTTTGAAGATTAGCCCATCCTGTGTGACAAGTTCATCCCGAAAGTTAAAGAAGGGAGTCAACTCCTTTGGCAGCTTGTTTTTACTATCGGGCCACCCTTTCAGTATCGTTTCCTTGAGCCGATTACACAGCTCGTCTGCTTCCGTGTGGCGTAGTAGTTGCTGGAAACGCTCCTCTGTGACGGCCAATAGCTGAGTGACATGGACAATGTCTTGGTCTTCTTGCGTTGCGGTCACATCGGAAAGATATGCCCTAGACAGTGTGTCTGCAATGTACATCCTCGACCCCGGTTGGTAGACGATGTCTAGGTCGTACTTCTGGAGCCGAATGAGCATTCGTTGTAAGCGGCGTGGGACGACGTGCAGTGGTTTATTGGCTATTGATACCAGAGGCTTGTGATCGGTAAATACAGTGGTCCGGCGACCAAAAGTGTAATCGTTGAAACGCTCTACGGCATAAACCAATGCTAGCATCTCCTTTTCAATCTGTGCATAACGGCGCTCGGATTCCGTTAGTGTCCGACTGCGAAAATCGATG